GGGGGGGGGGGGGGGGGGGCAATTCACGCCCGAACACTAGTGACCTCTGAGCCTTCCAACCTTGAAGTTCCGACAGCCTGCAGCCAGAATTTCAAACTCGACAGCGTGTAAGGGACCAGTTGGAACCTTGATTTGTAGCCCTCGGTCCGGCATAGATCCGGACGTTGAGATTGGCTAGCGTGCGTGCTCTCAGCAAGGACCACCGTAAGAATTTACTTCTCCTATTCACCGCATAACTCTAAGCATCCAGGGCCCCTGCATGAACTTTGAAGGAGGGAGCTCTCAAACAGAAGGCGCCACTGGAAATCATTCTTGGCAGTCTTGGCAGTGCCAAAAGCTGAATCCCTGGACTGTCGTATGGCCTGAAATGTTCTCATAGCCCTGAAGGCCTCTGTAGCAAGTGTCCACCAAAAAGCTAAGGTCGGCGCGTGGTTCTTCATCCGTGTTCTTAATGTTTTTGAGAAGTGCGTCCAGGACTGGCACAGTGGTGAGAAGCAGCAGGTAGACATGATTTTTGGCCAGGGTGAGTGGTTTGATGCTTCCTTTTCGTTTCTGGGCCCAGAATGTGAGTGTCCTTCCTGCCAGTTCAGGAGTCCAGCCAGGACGAGTCGAAAGCTCTCCTTTGGGAGGCCACCCAACATACAAGCTTGATTCCAAGCGCGAGCTTCATTCAGACTGCTTCAATTTAGTATGATGGCTAAGGGCTTATAGGAGAACGGGCCATGTCCATGTCCTAGTGCTGCCTGCCCAGGCCCAGGCGCGCAAAATGACTGGTGAGATGCTCAGTATCAGCTCAGAACGCTTTTTCCTACGGTCCGCTGCATGTTCAGAGCTCAGTTTGCACTGGGGCCCAGGAACAACTCGGTCGAACCTCGCAGCGCGCTCCAGGACGGACGACGATGGGAAAGCCAGAGTTGAGACTGCCCGGCCCACGTGTACGTTGTCGAACTCTCAGCCGGGCGAGAACACAGACGAGGCGACAGCACATACTCGGCAGTAGAGCGGAAGCAGAGAAGCAGCGCACCTTCCTACGGGAATGCGACGTGGTGGACTCTGCCGCATTTGCCGCAGGTGCTGAGGGCAGACTCCATAGACGTATGCAAGACAAGTCACGTCCCGACAGAGGCGGCCTGGCCGAGTGCTGCCGCGACATCGATCCCTTGTTGGGACGGTGTCGCGAGGGGCTCTACGCTTGCTGCGCAAGGCACGCAGTCTTGACTCCAAACCTCAAATGCACTTCCGCAGCTTCAAGCGCCCAACTCGGCCACCTGTGCTTCGGCTAACGCGGGTCGGGAGAGGCCTGCCGTTGCGCGGACTGTACTGAGTGCGGAGAAGCAACCATGTCTGACGCGCCCCCATGATTCACCTCGCACAGGCTAGCTTTCTGAATGGCGGCGCCGGACGGGTTGCGCAGATGCAACTCCGGCCTGCCCGCTAAGCTGCTTGTCTTGTGGTGGCCGGGACTACGCCGTTGGCAAAGCTCGATTAAACGACAGTCAAATAATCTTACCACCAGATTTCTGATTGGAAATCTGGCCTAATTATCTGCCTGCATTGAGGCACTTGCTGGCAATTTTGGGACGAAGCGCACGGACAAAACGCTGGTGACAACATTAGGAGAGGACTGAAGCAAGCTGTGAAACAAGAACCACGTAGCAAATGCGAGAGCGCCTTGCCACAGTCAGCTGTTTCCACATCCTTGCGGGATCGGCCGGGCAGTCGTGCCACCGGGTTCCAGGGCAGGCCTGGAAAAGGCGTTTCCAGTGTAAGTCATAAGTGTGAGTCTCAAGCCAACGGATAGTTCTAGCTGCTGCGCCAGATGTGCACATAGACATCAACAACCATGGGTCCACCGCCTGTGCCGGGTCCTAAGCCCCGAAACTTTGCCTAGAGCAAGGGAAGCGTGAGGGGCCCATTGCGAAGTTTTTCTACTTGGAAGATAAACCTCGCACAGGGGGGGCAGGGAAGGGAGGGCAGCGCAGGGCAGCAGTACGGGCCCAGCACCCTCAACGAAACAAGCAGCCTGCGTGACGGGCCCCAGACTCCAGCCACCAGAGGCAGGGGCGCAGGGCACGTCCACGGCAGGGTCAGCCTGGGTGAGGGCTTCGAGGTCCAGAGCGATGAAGAATGGGTGCAGCTACAGCCACAACATCTCTGGAACGTGCCCACGCGCCCATACAACAACAAAAATAAGAGCACCAAAACCATGGCGCATCCCATATTGGAACAGGTGCGGTGCAGCGCAGCCGTGCCGTTCCAGTACATCCACGGGCAGCAGGGCATCGCTAAATTCCGGGCCGTGCCTCTGCAGGGTCCTATACTCCGCCTCCGGCATTCACTCAACACATGTTCTGGGTCGTGCTGACCGTGTCATGCGACATCGTGGGCCCAGCCCTCAAGCGGAAGACCAGATCCCTCCTCATGGTATGGAAGCCGAGAAACCATGACGAACGCGGGGTGTGTCTTCTGGAGCAAGACACACCCGGGAGGATCTTGGCCTTCGCGAAAGCGAAGTTCGAGCTGGTACCCAATGAAAATGCGCTCAAACAGGTGGACGCCTTCCAGGCCGGGGAAGCGTCCCACCAACGCGCATGGGTCCAGCGACTCCGCGAGGGCAAGAATCTGTTCCGCTGGATCCTCTCTGATCTTCACTCCTACCTGCAGGACCAGAAGATCTTTTTGAGTGAGAATGTCCGCGGCCGCCGGTTTTGCCGTGCGCTGAGGAGCCTTTGTCGCGACAACATCGTTACGGAAGCGGACGTCGTCCTGCCAGACCTCAGTCTGGCAGGTACGGCGAGGCAGCTGCTGCGCCAGTTGGGCAGATCCGACAAGGCCAAGGTGGCCGAAGCTGCGGCAGCCCTGGACGGCTGCACCGTCAGACTGGGCACCACATGCAGCGGGACAGACATCTGCGTCCCTGCAATCACCGCACTCCTCGGCTGCATCTCGGGGGAGTTCAAGGCAACACGGCTGAAATACCTACGTACGTACGTAGACTATACGTACGCATGTACGTACGTATGTAGGTACGTAAGCCATGTTGCGTGCTTCGTATCAGCTGTTTTATGCCTTGCATGGACACCACAAAGGCGCATGCAGTACTTGCATTCGTACAATTGCCTTGTGGAGCAGACAAGATAAAGATCCGTGTCTGTCACGTCTTCTCGGTGGAGGCCGACGCCGGGAAGCGAGACTTTCTGCAGCAAGCGCACAAACCTGGCTTTTGTCTCTTCGAGGACGTCAACATCTTCACGACGCCCGAGACACCTGCCTGGTGTTATACATGCGGGAAGAAGCACTCCATCCCTAACGACATCGATTTGCTCGTGGCAGGCCCCGTCGTGCAAGAACTTCTCCCGCATGTACAGCGAGCCCTGCGCCGGGGTCTGTCGCTCGACGGACGCGACCCCTCACTTAGTTGGGGGTTTGGGGGTTTAGGGCTCAGGGGTTGGGGTTTAGGGGTTCGGGCTTAGGCAGCTGCGTTGGAGTGTTGGATGGTCTTTCATTGTTCACGGTCCACGCTGACACAATTTGTCAGTTTCGCATAATTCACAAAGGAGTCAGACCTACCCTCCCCCAAGCTAATATTATAGGGACCTAAATATCCTATACTACTTTAGGGGTTCTTTGTTACAACTATGTAGTATAATATACCCTAATATACCCCCAAACCCAATTCTAATTATGAAGGCCCCTACATTACCAAGAGCAGCCCAGGATCAGCTTCATGCTTCTACTAGACACGGCCGATCTTCGAGTTCGTCACCCACAGCTCACAGTTCTGGGCCTTGATCGAGGGGAAAGCAGCCAGGTTTCAATATATTGGCATGAATAATTACCTATATTATTTTGGGGGTTCCTTAGTATAATTATAGAAAAGCAGCAATACCCTATTCTATTTATTATCAGGCCCCGACAGTACATTTGGGCCGGGGGGGTTCGTCTTAGGGGTCAAGGAGGTTTCTAGAGTAGTTGTACCAGGGTCTTAGGGTCCAGAGTTGAGGGGGTTTGCTTGAACGAAAGCGGCCTAAATAATTACCTAAACTATTTGGGGATTCCTTATTATAATTATAGTATAATATACCTCAAAACCCTATTCTAATTATTAAAGCTCTACATTAACGTTCCTCTGTTGATCTTGGCGAGGAACTTAATTACTCATAAATTTGGCGAGTAGCGACATGTATTTACATATATTTGAATGTGGGTGCTGATTTCCAGGCAAGCCTTCGGCAACTTCTATCCAGCCAGGTGTGACACATGAGGTTATAATGGAAAATGTGACGCACGGGGAGTCTAAACCATGCTTGCAGACTGTGTGTCGGTGCACAAAACATCCGTGAGATCTCTCCGAAGCACGGCAATCAAGCCGCATGCTGCAAGTGTCTCACCCGTGCAGCTAAGTTGTTGACCGTCATATGAGCATTTTTCAGGCATCGCCTATGGATGCATTGTTTATCTCGCACTATACTCGCACAACTCAATGTTCTACTTTGCGTTTCGATCTTGACATACGAGCAAGAGCCCCGGAACCCCTTTTCCGTGCGCACTTCTTCTCTCTTGGTCGGCCTGTCACTGTCCTTCGTGTGTTTGCTGCTGTGGTTCCTGTGCGACATCGCAGTGTTCAGGCCCGAAAGGTGCTATGCAGGGCATACCTTTTTTGGGCGCTCGAATTCGTAGCTTCCTCGAGTTGCTGTGTTTTCGAGTGGATTCGTTTGGTTGTTGATGCATTGTCTCTTCTTCCAGGCAGTTGTGTGGTTGAAAACCGATATGCTGCTTACTCTAGTGTCTTGCCTACCGGGATGTTCAACGCGATCCAGCTCAGACGCCTGTCTTGCACTGCATATAAACTAGATAAAGCTGCAGACAAAATTACATAAGCTTATGAACGCTTTACAAAGCTTTATACAACCCAGGCAGGTGGTTCTGCATTCTGGTCTTGGCCACCCAGCCCGTCGTGATCGTCACTGCCACGGCGTGGCAAGCGAAGGTGCGAAGGAACGCACCAAGGCGCACTCTATCACGAGGGCTTCTGGGTACTTGTTAAGGAGCTCAGTTTTAAGTAACCAAAACAGGGATCTATAGTCAGCAAGGCTTCCCCATTATGTTAACCCTAAACCCTAAGCCCCGAACCCTAAACCCTAAACCCTACACCCCTAAACTCTAAAGCCTACACCCTAAAAGTTCATAAACTCTTTAACAAATCCCAGGCTTCTTTATACCGAGCCTGAGGGCCATGAGGGCCTCCATTTCTGGCCGGGATGCATGCAGAGGTGTGGGTGCCGGGCCGTTTCCGGCTGTTTTGAGAAAATGCTCAGATTCCTCAAGAGCTGGGAAGGCCGGCACTGGGTCATGGTCGTGACTCAGCCCTTCGCGACAGCAGTTTTTTATTTTACAACACAGGGGCCTTAAGAATTAGAGTAGGCTTTGGGGGTATATTATACTAGAAATTATAATAAGGAACCCCCACAACCCTATTCTAATTTTTAAGGCCCCTACATAGAGAGCTTAGGGTTGCGGATTCAGGTTCAGGGTTTAGGGTGTAGGGACTCAGGGATTCTGTTCTACCATATCGTAAGAAGGAGCGAAAACGTGTAATTTTCAAGAGGCCTGCAAGAATGGCCTAGGTGAATGCCTGCATCAGTGCTACAGTGTGCTTGTATCAATATGTGCAGTCGAACTGCGGCCCGCGAGAATCCGTTCTGGCTGTGGTGCTTTGCTTTGGGCTGCTATCAATGTTTACAGGTATCTTAGCTCTGTCATCTGACCCTTTCCGGCTGCCAGAGAAGCTGGATCGGCACTTTCGCTGGAGCGTCCTGTGGAAGGTCGACATGCTAGCCTGCAAGGTCGTGTTGCTGGCCATACCTCAAGCCAGCTCAGTGGTGGAGATGGATTCCATCATGAGCTGTGGTTTCGATGCGTTCTGTCCCAGTGACTGCGTGAATCAAGGCGGATACTGTACACGCTTTGCCAGTGCTGGCAGCCCGGTGTGCAAATGCAGCATGCCGGAGGTGAATTGGGCAGTGTACATCCTGACTGCCATCACCAGCTTTCTTCTCTGCATGCTGACGTTGATACTTGGAGGAACATTGGACTTAGTAAGTGGGCTTAGAAGTGCTTTTAGGGTTATAAGTAGATACAACCATCGTTACCGTACTTTACTACTATTACGAGGTCTCCCCCAAAAGAACCCTAAACCCTTAAAGGACCCCTTACAGGACGCCTACAAGAACCCTACGTACTTATTATAGTAGCAGCCCTTCTGTTGGAAACCCAATATTCTCAATTCTTAAGAGTACGTAGTGCCGAATATAAGGGCCTTAATAAATAGACTACGGTTTTCGGGGTATGTTATACCATAGTTATGATCAGGAACCCCCGAAACCCTATCCTAACTATTAAGGCCCCTATATTATAGAATCCCAGCACTATTTGTCCTTGATCTGGTTTCCAACTTTTTGGGGTTTACCATAGGTACCCATGGTTATCGGATGAGCATGAGGGCGAACCCTACGAGTTACAAAGCTACACCCCGAAACCTGGTTTTGATGCTACCAGGGTTCAGGGTTTGGTGCTTAGGGCTTTGGGTTTAGGGCCTGGGGCTTAGGGTTTTGGGTTTAGGGTTTAGGCTTGAGGTTTTGG